CAATTGTGTTTTCTTATTTTAAGTGTAAATTGTCTTGTTCCTTTGGCAAAATGTCTCTTTTACCTCCTTAATTAAAAAACAAATGCACTTATTTTAAGAAAAAATGACTTATCTAGATGTAGATTTTTTTGCAGTGTTCCATTGCTGCAGATTTATAATGGGATCGGAAAAAAACAAAGAGGATCGGAGTGGATGAGGATTTAACTCTGCTCCATATGAAATGGAGCATCCTCTACGCTCTAATTAGGATGACTTGACTGATGGTGTATACGGTGGAGTTCCCCACTGGGCTGCCGTAAGCACCTTACCATATGCTCTGTGTTTGTGTGCGGCTAAGTCTTAACAGGATCAGGACTATGAAAACCAGGACCGAAATCCCCCCATTTCACTGAAGGGAGAAAGATCGGCACAGAGCAGGTTGCTCACATGCTTTCAAACCATGAAGGAGCTTCATCATTTTTGGCAGCCAAGTGGTTTTGTGATTGAGTGCAGGTCCAAACGGAGGCAATACCAAGCTGAGTTTGAAGAAAAATGCAGGCAAACTGTCACCCTGAGTATTTCCTTCCCAATGCCGAGGACACAGATATATACAGTGATTCCGCAGAAAATTTAAACGTTTTCTCTTCATTTTTGTTACTTTTTGTTTGTCTTTGTAAGCTGTTATTTTTTATTAGACACAGCGCGGTTCCCCAGGCTGTGTGGGTGTTTACGTGCGTGTCCAATTCACTTTGGTAAACAGGCAGACTCAATTTTCTCTGTTGGTGGTTGTTTGGGAATGCTTGGCAGAACTTTAGAAAGCCTGGGAAGTCAGACATGGCAGCCTGCTGTTTGTTAAGAAGCTCTGCTTCCTATGGCGTAACAAGAGGTATTTTTTACAGATCAAAAAGAGCTCTGCAAGAGCTGGATAACATGGCTTCAGATGAGAGGTTGTCACTGCTTATCAGATGCCGTTGAATGGATTTCTTTAATAAATCCTTTCATGTGCTTGTGTTGGCATTTTTTTTTTTACAATAGGACAAATGGGATTTTGTTCAATTGACAAATAATCTCAAACTTCCATTTTCTTCTGATTCCTGCTTCTATTTCCCAAATGTATTCACTGTTACAAACCATAATATTAGACACACGGAGCCCCTCTGATGACATGGTCAAAACATTTTTTT